ACGCTGGTTATTTTGGCTGAATATCACACTGCAACTTTCCTTTCTGTCAGTAGGCGTTAAGTGGTGAGATAGAATAGAGGTGCGAATGACAGATGAGAGCTTTTCAAAGAAAGAAGGCGGTGAAGAAAAAATTCGCGAATTTGGTAACAGATCGAATTTTTAACTCATCTTACAAAAACAAAGTTATTATCGTCCTCATGGATAACTTTGGACCTTGAAGTTCATTATTAACAAGTTTCAGTTTTGTATTTATTCCAACAATCCCGAGTTAAGTTAAATTAATTGATTCAATAATGAACTTTAGCTGTCCTATTTCTTCTTCCTCTTTCGTTTTAGTGTCTGTTTACACTTAAGGCAAAACGAAACTATGTGCAAAGACAATATTAACTACGGGAAAACAAGAAGTTGGGAAAGCAAATAACGTTTAATTATAAATATATCGATACAAATAAGAACTTGCCTGCTATTTATTTTTTTACTTATGACGAAACACGAATACTTATTTATCTTTCCATTCTGCACGTAACAGGTAATGATAGTTTTTTTGATTGGTTCATCACACGAGATTTCAGCTTAACATTATACGATAAATCTTAATCTTACTGTTGTCAGTTATATACAACTTATACTTCTATAAACTCCAAGATTGAAAACGCTACGCGTCCAAGTGCTTTGTAATTATGTAACCACAGCATTTTATTTATTGCCAACATATCTGTTATTTTTACATAAAATTGTTTGTTTTTCTTTCGTAACGATCCATTTCAGTCGATCCTAATATCTGAAAACGGATTTCATATAATTTTCAAAAGCTTATATTTCAGAAGTATTTTAATAGCATTTTCTTATTTTACGAATTCTTATTTGTAATATTTGGAAAAGGAGTATGTATTTATTTCGTACAAACATAAATATATGATCATTGATAAATAGTGCAAAAAGGTCAAGTGTCTTAAAATGTATTTAAGAATTTATTAACTCTTAACAGTTAACATGTGTATTTACCCACGATTATTTTCAAGTGCTTTTAAAACACATAAAATTAATCACAAAATAACATAAACTAATTAATACCTTATACGGCTAACAGAAATAATAAACTTATATTCTCGTAATACCAGAGACAAACGTAACAGTTATCTGTTTACCCTATAGAGAATCCTGTTTGTACAGCACACAACACAAGTGGTTAGTGATAATTACAATATTACTCCGTATAAATTCAATGAGTCTTCTAGATTACGTATACACGTGAGTTTATTTATAGCATACAAAAGATAAGTGTTGTTCGATTATAGATAAAAATAATAAATTTAATGTTATTATAAGCAAATCAAAATAGTTTGTTTGTTTGTTATGGATTTCGCGCAAAGCTACACGAGGGCTATCTGCGCTAGCCGTCCCTAATTTAGCAGTGTAAGACTAGAAGGAAGGCGGCTAGTCATCACCACCCACCGCCAACTCTTGGGCTACTCTTTTACCAACGAATAGTGAGATTGACCTTCACATTATAACGCCCCCACGGCTGAAAGGGCGAGCATGTTTGGTGTGACATGATTGTGAGTGATTAACCAACTGGCCATACCGGGCCATCAAAATAGTAATAATATATTATTACTGTATCTTAAACATCCATACTATACATCTACTGAAACTGTGAAAAAAACAGGTTCCCATGCTTTCAAATGCTGTCAATAAATATCTGGCATACACTTGGTATAGAATTTCCTTACACGCACACGCTTTGTACCGAAGCCCGTAAGGGACAGTGATCTCTTATTTTGTTTTGTTTGTTATTTCAATCTCATATTTCTTCATTTAATTTGATATTTTATTGTCATTTAGATTTTTATGAATTTAAATGTTGTTTTTAAATGTATTTATTTTTATTTATTTCCGTCGTAAGAAACACTGATCTCTTATTTTGTTTTGTTTCTTATTTCAATCTTATATTTCTTCATATAATTTGATAGTTTATTCTTTTAGATTTTATGAATTTAAATGTTGTTTCTAAATGTAATTATATTTGTTTATTTCTGTCGCATAGAAACTTTTGAGGTTAACTACCTAACGTTGCATCTAGATTTAGAACTCAGATTTTGTTCAGATCATATTATCATCAAACTATTTATGTCACGTTATTATTAAATACTTACTCCCCGGTGGCACAGCGGTATGTCTGTGGACTTACAATGCTAGAAACCGGGTTGCGATACCCGTGGTGGGCAGAGCACAGATAGCCCTTGTGCAGCTTTGTGCACAATTAAAAACAAACAAACAAATTAAATACTTCTAATTGCTATAAAACTCATAAGATCATATTATTGTCATGCTCTTCAGATCAGAGTACAGCTAAACTCATCAATTCAAACTATAGTGATACTCTTCAAGCCAAACTACAATGAAACTCTTCATCCCAGAGTACTGTAAAACTGTTCGGATCATTACACAACAATACTCTTCAGATTATGTATAGAAATCTCAATAGTAACTTATCTCCACGAGAGAAACACGTTTGTAATTAACAGATAAAAATAAAAAAAAAAGATAGTCGTCAGTGTGGCTAGACAAGATTGGAAAAGTTTGACTACATCAAAGTTCACAGATAAACAATTTTTAATAGCAAACATCATGCAGATTTGCTCCCTCAGTTGGCTCTTACTTGACTGACTAAACATAGGGTTATTATTAGCACTCAAATTTTACTGGACTAAATAAGGAACGTAGGCTCAAAGAAAAGACGCAAATACATTGGGTTAAACACACTTTGTATGAAGGAATTGCTCATGCTAGTCCAGTGGGGTGGCTCCACAGGTAACATGTTTAACACCTACATGTCTAGTCCAGTGTGTTGGTTCCATAGGTAACATGTTTAACACCTACATGTCTAGTCCAGTGAGGTGGTTCCATAGGTAACATGTTTAACACCTACATGTCTAGTCCAGTGAGGTGTTTCCACAGGTAACATGTTTAACATCTACATGTCTAGTGCAGTCGGGTGTTTCCACAGGTGACCTGTTTAACACCTACATGTCTAGTCCAGTCGGTGTTTCCACAGGTGACATGTTTAACACATACATGTCTAGTCCAGTGTGTTGGTTCATTAGGCGAGATGTTTAACACCTACATGTCTAGCCCAGTGTGTTGGTTCCATAGGTGACATATTTAACACCTACATGTCTAGTCTAGTGAGGTGGTTCCACAGGTAACATGTTTAACACCTACATGTCTAGTCCTATGAGGTGGTTCCACAGGTGACAAGTTTAACACATACATGTCTACTACAGTGAGATGGTTCCACAGGTAACATGTTTAACACCTACATGTCTAGTCCAGTGAGTTTGTTCCATAGGTGACATGTTTAACACCTACATGTCTAGTCCAGTCAGGTGGTTCCACAGGTAACATGTTTAACACCTACATGTCTAGTCCAGTGAGTTTGTTCCATAGGTGACATGTTTAACACCTACATGTCTAGTCCAGTCAGGTGGTTCCACAAGTGACATGTTTTACACCTATATGTCTAGTCCAGTGGGGTGGTTGCACAGGTGACATGTTTAACACTTACATGTCTAGTCCAGTCGGATGGTTCCACAGATGACATGTTTAACACCTACATGTCTAATGCAGTCGGGTGGTTCCACAGACATGTTTAACCCCTACATGTTTAGCCCAGTGGGGTGGTTCTACAGGTGACAGGTTTAACACCTACATGTCTAGCCCATGGGGTGGTTCCACAGATGACATGTTTAGCAGCTACATGTCTGGTTCACAGAGATTTTCCAAATTTTGTGCAGTAAACATTTGGTAGACCTTTACGAGGAAGAATGTTTGTGCAGTAAAATTGATAAACGGTGTAGAGTCAAGAGTCAATGCATTTGGAAGTAGGGTTTCTTCAATGTTATCTATTTATACCAACCTCCGAATAGAAAGAGCTACCTACTTAGATAGAAGAAAGCTAAAATCAACCCGATAATGAGAATACTTAATTAGTAATCATACTTTTGTTCTTACTTATAAAGATTATATGCATTATTTCATCAATTAGGTACAGTTGCTGTTAACTATATTTTCGGCCGTAAGCCTAATAATATCTCACGAGTTTCCGCTAACTTAAGTTATATAGGTTTTTCTAAATCCATATCCTTAGTTAGAAATGTAAAACAATCACTATAATAAACGTATAATAGTAAAAAAATTAAAATAATAAAACTAGATATATTAAACATTTTAACAAATATTGTTTATAAATGTAGTGTTAAAGAAAGAATAAAGTATACCTCACATAAGGAACACATACGCGCACTAGTTGTAAGCTTCAAGTACTGTCATGGATTTAATATACGTTGAACAACATATCATGGAATCATAAAACTTGCACAGCAAAGCATTTAGGACAGAAACAGGCAATCCGGAGCAATGACCTCATCAACAGAGTAAAGACAACACTTCTACCCTAAAATTCATTGCAATGATCCTGGGCATACCTTCTGTTATCATTCACAAGACAGTAAACAAGGATTTAAAAATATTTAATGCTTACAAGCCAAAGGTTCGAAAGCTTCAGGCTACACCTTAAAATCAAAGGCTGTTTTCATGGGAAAGATGTCCAAAAAAAAAGTTGCAATCGTAGCGAATCTATTCGACCAAATTCTATAGGATCCAGTGAAGTTTGAGGCTTTGGTCTAGTTAAACACGATTTAGGAGGCTGATGATCACGTACAGAGGAAACTTTGTCATGATGTTTGGTCTATGATTTACCTTGCTGTCTTTCCCATGAGACTGTTACAATGGAAACTTAAGTATCTAAAGTTTGTTAAGTTGTGTGTTCTATGACTTACCTTGTTATCCTTCACAAACGATTGTTACGATGGTAACTGGAGTTTGAAAGTTTGTCAAGATGTTTGGTCTATGATTTACCTTGCTGTCTTTCACATGAGACTGTTACAATGGAAACTTAAGTATCTAAAGTTTGTTAAGTTGTGTGTTCTATGACTTACCTTGTTATCCTTCACAAACGATTGTTACGATGGTAACTGGAGTTTGAAAGTTTGTCAAGATGTGTAATCTAAAATTGACCTTGTTGTCCTTCACAGAAGATTGTTACCATGGAATCTGAAGTTTCGATCAAGAGTGGACTGCTTTCCACTAAGAAAAACACAAGGCTGTGTTCCTTCTTGACGAAAGCTAAATGTAAAGAGCAAGACCTACATAACGAAAATGTTGTTGTTTTTGCTATCTCTATAGATTGAAACAAAGTTATTATAAAATTATCATTCTGTATTTCAATTGAAACTACGAGCCAAAAACATGAAAGTAGAACATTTTGTTCTATGGTTTAACAGATCAGTAAGAACACAGAAAACAGTTGGTAACAATTATAGTTTCGTTTATTTTTAAGGGCAAAGCTACATAGTGTGCTATCTGCTCTCTACCGACCGTGTGTATCGAGCCCCAATTTTTAGCGTTATAAACCCTCAAACTTATCACTGGGCTACATTTCTAAAGTACCGATTTAAAATGATCAATGGCAGACTTTTATAAGCAAGTTAAAAAATATACATGAATTTCGAAATTTTAGAAAATAAGTTAAAGAAAGGTAAGTTAAGTTCAACGTTAAGAATATTACAAAATAAGGAACAGCTTTAGGATTCCTCAAAATTTCAAAGCAACGCCTTCAACCACGGCAGGAATTATAAGAACTTTATCTTAAAATTCAACATTGATTTTTTTTCTACCTTTAGAAATACGTTTTTTGTTAATGTGATGACTAAGAGAAGAGATCGAACACTGAAAATATACGTTTTCTTCTAATTCTTACTTTCTTCATGAGCTGTTCAGCTGGGACTTTTTGTTTGTTTGTAATTAAGCACAAAGCAACACAATGGGTTATCTGTGCTCTTCCCACCGCGTGTATGGAAACCCGGTTTCTAGCGTTGTAAGTCCGCAGACATGCCGCTGTGCCACTGGGGGGTGCTGGGACACATGCACGCACAAAGAAACAACTCCAAACAGTGGAAACTTGGTTCTATGCTACTTTTATGACGTAACACATTGAGTATAATAATTACACAGGCCTGCGAATTTAAACTTCATAAAAGTTGTTTTGGTTTTAATAACGGATTTTCCATAATTCAGCTACGCAGATTTTGAAAATAATATTAATTTTTTTCTATCACGTAAGAATTGTTTACAAATCGGGAAGAAAAAAAGAAAACTCTTACTTAGATCAAATTATTATTTCGTTTACCATAACGAACATTTTTATTATTATGTTTGTTAATCACAATACAAACAAACTGAGGAGAAGGAAAGAACATTGATGTCAAACGAATATACATCCTCATTCATTCTGATTTTTTTTTTTTTTTGCGTGAAGTCTACGTCTTTTAGTCTCCAAACTACGTGTTGTATGAAAGTACATGTGACGTTTTTTTGAAAAATCTGTACGTGATGGAGAAAAATGGATATAATTTTCGGATTCAGCGTACAGGAATTACTGTAGAACATGTAAAAAATTCAAGACAATAAAACCATCGCAGGCCTGTGTTATTAGCCCCTATTTCTGGATTACACTCATTGACAACCTGGTATGTTATTTTTATTTCCCACAGTATTATAAACCATACTGGTTGCTTCTTCCTTAGCCATGTTTCAAAAAAATAAAGGACAGTTTTGTTAAACCTATTGGCGCGATGCTTTCTGGAGACAAAAAACAGAGAAATACTACGATACCAAGGTTTAATACTGAATATTGTTAATACAGGACAACTGGCCATGAAATACGAGAAATATTTACTCTTAGGGCATAGTAGAGCAACGCTTTAATGTCAAGTCGCTTACACTTTGAAGAACTTATGGGTGTTTGACGTAAAACACTGAAAACACTTTGTTGATATGGCAACCCAATTTTGTATCATAAAGTCTCAACATAAGACCTTGCGCAGAGAAGGAAAAGATTTAAACTAAACATTTCCGTTTTTTTCTCGCATTCATGCGAAAACAGGGAAATCAGACGTAGGTGTTGAGCCCTATAACTCTATCAATATCCTCTAGAACGAATAAACGAGTTTCTTTAGGTTTCCTAACTGGAGAAAAGCCTTTCTAGAACACAGTTAAGCACAAACTGGAATTACAAATTTTTAAACCGCGATTTATCAGTAAATGCATATTAAATTTTTTATCGACATTTGACGTGGATTTTCTACATAAAACAGTACACTTTAATCCTACGAAGTTATTTATTCAAATATTTTTTAGGACTAAAAATATATGACTGAGTAACCAATGAATGAACTTTACGAAATGTGACAGTTACTTTCTATTTCAAAATAATAATAATAATTTGTTTTAAACTGTATTCTTTTGAAAATTATTACAAACTTGTTCCCCGTGATTTTATTCCCATTAAAACTCTACTCTCAAGACCACCGTAATAATCAGACTTCTTAAAATAGTTCATCAAAAAATATACACTTGGACCAGTTTATTACTATTATACTATGTTATATTACGTAATTAAGTTTATATATTTAACGTTAGAAACTTTATTATTAATTGTTTAAGTAATATTTTTTTATTTTCATATTCACGTACATACCTTGACCTGATTTCGTTTACTCAGTAACATCTCTAAATCGTTAAATGTGAAATACTTTTCTGTCAATTACTTAAATAATCTTTTTATCAGATTACCAAAATAGAGTCATATTTTCGCGGCAAGGATTTATTACGAGTTAAGTCTTTAAAAAATATATATTGAAAGTATTTGACGAAAATTTGTATTTTTTGAACTTTTATATTTTTAGTTATATATATATATATATATATATAT